ATTATTATTATTTTTTTGAGATGGATTCTCACTCTGTTGCCCAGGCTGGAGTGCAATGGCATGATCCCAGCTCACTGAAACCTCCACCTCCCGGGTTCAAGCAATTCTCTGTCTCAGCCTCCCAAGTAGCTGGGATTACAGGCGCCTGCCACCACACCTGGCTAATCCACATCAGGCTAATTTTTCTTTTTTTTTTAGTAGAGACGGGGTTTCACCATGTTGGCCAGGCTGGTCTTGAACTCCTGACCCCATGATTTACCTGCCTCAGCCTCCCAAAGTGTTGGGCTTATGGGCGTGAGCCACCATGCCCAGACTAATTAATCATTAAAAAAAAAAAAAAAGAAAGAAAGAAATTTCAGGAATATTTAATTCATTCAAAAGTAACAAAAATAAACTTATTACATGTTAACCTAAGCAACATTTTCTGTTTTTTTTTTTTTTAAAAAAAAAAAACCACTTTTTTTTTTTTTTTGGGGAGATGGAGTCTTTTTTTTTTTTTTTTTTTTTTTTTTGAGAGGGAGTTTCGCTCTTTTTACCCAGGCTGGAGTGCAATGGCGCGATCTTGGCTCACCGCAACCTCCGCCTCCTGGGTTCAGGCAATTCTCCTGTCTCAGCCTCCTGAGTAGCTGGGATTACAGGCACGTGCCACCATGCCCAGCTAATTTTTTGTATTTTTAGTAGAGACGGGGTTTCACCATGTTGACCAGGATGGTCTCGATCTCTCGACCTCGTGATCCACCCGCCTCGGCCTCCCAAAGTGCTGGGATTACAAGCTTGAGCCACCGCGCCCGGCCCCGAGATGGAGTCTTACTCTGTTGCCCAGGCTGGAATGTAGTGGCATGATCTTGGCTCACTGCAACCTCCATCTCCCATGTTCAAGCAATCCTTCTGTCTCAGACTCCCGAGTAGCTGGGATTACAGGTGTGCGCCACCATGCACAGCTAATTTTTGTATTGTTAGTAGAAACAGGGTTTCACCATGTTGGTCAGGCTGGTCTTGAACTCCTGACCTCAGGTGATCGGTTTGCCTTGGCCTCCCAAAGTGTTGAGATTACAGACATAAGCCACTAATGCCTGGCCCCAAAATAAAAAACCTCTTTTCTAAAAAAAAAAAAAAAAAGTGAATGAGAAGAGTGGAATTATTTTCCATTTTTGTAATTCTCTTCAATGTCTAGCTTAATAAGATGCAGCTGGGTCCTCATCTTTGATTCAATCAGCATTCAACTTGCTGTGAGGGAGCATTTGGTTGAAATATATGAAGAAAATCTGGCCCCATACAGACAGATGTAGGCCTTTTCAGATTACTGTGAACAGTCTGTTATTCTGTACTAAAACCTGAGAAGTGGTAGCTTCTGAAAATGAGGGAGGTGGGGACTCCGAATGTATCAATGAACTTTCCACACCCTTATATTAAACTCCACTGGTCCATTATGCTCTTTCAGGAGCGATTTTGCCCCTGAGCATGACTACGGAGCATCCTGCACTGGCTGTGTGCAGCTCACTGTTTCAGAGCTTTATATATAGATCTCCCAGATACAGAAACAGAATTTTTTAAAAATTACATTTTTGGTATCACCTCTGCTTACATCAGAAGTCTTATTTTTTTAAATTATTATTTCCTTATCCACTTGACATCCGAAGAAGTCTTATAAGAAGTGGGAAACTAGCCAGCCATGGTGGCTCATGCCTATAATCCCAGCACTGTGGGAGGCCGAAGTGGGCGGATCACTTGAGGTCAGAGTTTGAGACCAGCTTCGGCAACCAAGTAAGACCCCATCTCCACAAAAAATACAAGAATTAGCCAGGCCTGGTGGCAAAGACCTGTAGTCCCACCTACTCAGGAGGCTGCAGTGGGAGGCTAACTTGAGCCTAGGAGGTCGAGGCTGCAGGGAGCTGAGATTGTGCCGCTGCACTCCAGCCTGAGTGACAGCCAGACCCTCTCTCAAAAAAAAAAAAAAAAAGAACTGGGGAACTGTCAGTTAGGAAACTGTCAGGCTTACAGGGACAAAGACAAGTTCTCCTTTATCGCTGGCAACAAATACTGTTAGTTGTTTTTCTTGAAGTAATATGTTCACTTCATTCATTTTCAAGAAAATGTCCACCAAAAACCCAAGCCTGTGTAACCGTAACAATCTGTCATTCTTTCAGATAAAAGCAGCTTGGCCAGGCACAGTGGCTCACGCGTGTAATCCCAGTACTCTGGGAGGCCTAGGCAAGTGGATCACTTGAGCTCAGGAGTTCAAGACAAGCCTGGGCAATATGGCAAAATCCTACCTCTACAAAAAGTACAAAAATTAGCCGGGCACGGTAGCTCACGCCTGTAGTCCCAGCTATTTTGAGGGCTGAGGTGAGAGGATCACTTGAGCCCAGAAGGTTGAGGCTGCAGTAAGCCAGGACTATACCACTGGACTCCAGCCTGGGCAACAGCGCAAGACCCTGTCTCAAAAAAGTAAATTAATAAAAAAATAAAATAGGCCGGGCGCGGTGGCTCAAGCCTGTAATCCCAGGACTTTGGGAGGCCGAGGCGGGTGGATCACGAGGTCGAGAGATCGAGACCATCCTGGTCAACATGGTGAAACCCCGTCTCTACTAAAAATACAAAAAACTAGCTGGGCATGGTGGCGCGTGCCTGTAATCCCAGCTACTCAGGAGGCTGAGGCAGGAGAATTGCCTGAACCCAGGAGGCGGAGGTTGCAGGTGAGCCGAGATCGCGCCATTGCACTCCAGCCTGGGTAACAAAAGCGAAACTCCGTCTCAAAAAAAAATAAAAATAAAAATAAAAATAAAAAAATAAAATAAAAGCAGCCAGTTCGGCTTGCAACTCAAACAACTGCACAGGTCCTTCCCCTCAAGGCCGCAGCCATCACGCCCCAGGCCCACAGCGTGCTCACACGCACCACCCGTGATGTCTCACAGAACATTAAAAGGCACAGGTTGAGATGTAATCGCATGAACAGTTTTATTATTTCAAGACCATTCTTAAGTGATGTGAGCCTTTTTCACCCCCTTTGAGGAGGTGACAGTAAAGAATGCAGTGGCTGCCGGTAGAGCCTGGTGCCACAGCCTTGAACTACCTGAGGGCGCTGGCAATGTTACCCACCACTGCTTTTCACCATCAGGCAAATGTCAACAGTACTAGTGACTAATACCATATGATTACAAAAACATGATTATGAAAATAGTTTTGACGCTGAGGATCCCCTTGAGAACCGCTACCCTAAAAAATGCCTTGCACGGCCGTGGCTATTTTCAGAGCACGGGGGCACCTCGGAATGAAGCCGTTCCTCCACCACCTCGGCAGCAGCCAACTGGGATTGTTTACTTCTGAGGCTCACATAGAAGCTCAGGCTTCAGAACAACTTTCCTCAGAAACTCAAGGCCAAAGAAAGGATGGTCAGCAGCAGAGACTGTTAATTAAATTTACGGTGTGTATCTCCGAGCCAGTCCCATAAGGTAATGACACTGGAGAAAGAGAAGGGAACGGGGATGCGAGCTCAAGGGCAGTCAGAGCCAGTAAATCTCGGCAGGCGAGACGGAATGGAGCCAGCACTAGGTGTGTCTGCGCGAGACTCAACTAAGCTCCCTCTCAGAGGATGCGGTGCGGCCGAGTCTCAGTGACCAAGGACCTGAGAGAAGCCACAGTGTATGACGAGAGAGACAAAGATGCGGCTTAAGGACAGTGGGCAGATTCGACCTCAATGTTTCCCTTTAGATTTCCATCAGGTTTGGTCAAAAGGAATCCAGACACAAATAAATTGACAAAAGCCAGACACTCTCTGAAAGCTATATTCACCCCAAATGCAGGAAGGAAAACTCCAAATAGCATTTTTCTCACTTGCAATTACTGGGTCGGGACTGCGTCTAAACTTAAAATGAGATTCTTTGCCATAGTGGTTTTTTGTTGTCGTTGTTGCTTTCAGACAGGGTCTGTCTCTGCTGCCCAAGCTGGGGCACAGTGGTACAATCTCAGCTCACTGCAGCCTTGACCTCCTGGGCTCAAGTGATCTCACCTCACCCTCCCAAACAGCTGGGACTACAGGCGTGTACCATCAAGCCCAGCTAATTTTTAAATTTTTTTGTAGGCTGGTCTGCCATAGTTCTTTGATTTTTGGTAGAGATGGGATATCTCTATGTTGTCCAAGCTGGTCTCAAACTCCTGGTCTCAAGCAATCCTCCTGCCTCAGCCTCCCAAAGTGCTAGGATTACAGGAATGAGCCACCATGGTTGGTGTAAAAATGAGATTCTTAAGCCCAAAATGCCAGATGCAGTGGCTCATGCCTGTAATCCCAGCACTTTGGGAGGCCTTGTGAGGCAGGAGGATGGCTTGAGGTTAGGAGTTTAAGACAAGCATGGGCAACATAGTGAGACCTCATCACTACAAAAATTTTAAATTAAAAAAAAGCCAAGCCCCAGCTGCTGTCAAGGCCATGCAATGAGTCACTGTAATGATCAGCCTGAGAACAGGAAACAGAATGTCAGGCTCCATACAGCAAAGCTTCCAAATCTAATAGGAGACATGATTGCTCATGGTCTGTGTGCTCCCAGTTGCCTCTACATCTCAGGAGGAGTGAATCAAGGGGAGCATAGAGGGTGGATGGGGCCATGGGTCCCAGAACCAGCGACTAGCAGCGTGCTGACTCCCACTGTCCTGCAAGATTCACAGCACGTGGCCGCCCCGCAGTCACACCCGAGGGTGGCTCCAGCACAGAGGGCCATTCCTGAGACCTCTCTGCAGGCGAAGCTTCAGCTGGGAACACGGCTGCTCTGGGTCTGGTAATGTTGTAAGCATCACCATTTTTCAGGGTACAGAGTGACGCCAAAAGCATCTCACAGCCTCAATCAATTCAGGAAAAAGCACAGAATCAAAACGATATCCCCGTTCTAATCTGCTCTGTCCTTCTTTCAGAGGGCTTGTCCTTCTTTCAGATATCTGCTGATGAGAAATGGGTGCTTCCTTAGCAGATGTCTTCCTAAGAAAGGGGAATGTGAACCCTGGTTTACCTATGTGACTTCCTGCTCTTAGATTCGCTCTCTGCTGAAGAGGTCCCATGCTGCCACCTGCTGGAAAAAAATGAGAAACTGCCTTGTGTGCCCAGGCCATGACAAACGCATTCCTGCTGAAGAAAGTGACCCTTTACTATAGATGCTGGGGGACAACGCTGACCCTGTGCTGCCTCACCTGCTGTGCCATCTACTCCAGACAGGGCACCTTACTAAGATCCTCAGCTACCAACCAACCTCAGGTGGAATAAATGGTCCCAGTGGCAGACACTACAGTCACCCCGAGCCCACAACATGGAAGAGTGAAGAGGCAGGCGAGTCAGGAGGCTGAAGCAGGGGTCGGGGAGGAGGTAAAGAAGGCAGGAATTCACCAAGGGGCAGGATGGAACAAGGAGAAACACACAGGTAAGCTTCGCCAATGGAAAACACTGCCCTTGGGATTTTTTTATACACTTTTAGCCAAACAGCTGGAAGAACCAATGAGAAATACAGAAGTATATAAGATGAAAAAGTTAAAAGTCTCATCATGACTTAATAAAGTAAGAAAAATCCTACCTGTTCACCAAGTTACAAATATAATAGAATTACCTTCTTATATAACAGGAATAGAAGAAAAATAAGGACAAGAATATCTCCAGACAGGCTGGGCACAGCAGCTCACACCTGTACTCCCAGCACTTTGGGAGGCCAAGGCAGGTGGACCACTTGAGGTCAGGAGTTTGAGACCAGCCTGGCCAATGTGGTGAAACCCCATCTCTACTAAAAACACAAAACTTAGCCGAGTGTGGTAGCAGGCACCTATAATCCCAGCGACTCAGGAGACTGAGGAAGGAGAATTGCTTGAATCCAGAAGGCAGAGGCTACAGTGAGCAAAGATCGTGCCACTGCACTCCAGCAGCTTGGGTGACAGAGAGAAACTGTCTCAAAAAAAAAGAACATTTGCTTATAGCCATTACTGGAAATAGTAGGGGAGGGAAAAAAAAAAAAAAAAAAAAAAACGAACATGCCCAAACAATTATCCCCGGAGGCAGATTTGTACTTCCTGACTTGAGTTTTTCTACTGATGGCAGGATGCTTTACTGGGCTCCAAGAAAGGCTATACAGCCAGGCTAGAAGCAAAAGCTCTGTGACTCCTGCTAAAATCCACTGAAAAGAACCTATCACAAGACACTCCAGAGGGAAAAGAAGGGAACCTGGTGCCTTTGAGGGATAAAATGAGAAAACAAGAGAAGGGCTATTCCCAGGACCAGAAAGAAAACAAAAGCTGGTGCAGGTCATAGAAGCCGAGTGGGCCTTGGGAGACTGGTCTCTGAGCACTGACCAAGGCTCTTGGCCTGGGTGAAACTTGCCCACAGGCTGCCCAGAAGTGGCCTGGGTGAAACTTGCCCACAGGCTGCCCAGAAGTGGCCTGGGTGAAACTTGCACACAGGCTGCCCAGAAGCAAGAGTGACGTGAGCCTGGACAGCACGATGCCATACTATCTGTTCCAGGCCCAAACTGGCGAGATCCTCCGGAATACTGTGCCCTAAATAACAACCTAGGGCTGACCCTGGCATGAAGCTCAAAGTCATGTTTAATTCAAATTAAAGAAATAATGTGTTATTAGTTGTATACCAGGTTTATGAAATAAGATTTACAGCCACTACACATTTTCCAAATTTTCGGAAATGAATCTACATTGGCTTTATAATCAGAAATAAGGTCAGCAACAAAACTTTATTAACAACAAAAACCTGTTCATTATTCATAACCTGCCTTAAAGAATGTTAATATCCACCTGGGCGTATAATACCATGGATGGAGGCAGTTCTGGGCTTTCGGAGAGAGGGCACTGCCCCATACACCCTCCGAATCTGAAATTCCCACTGGTGCCATGGCAGCCTATGGTCATGAACATTATTCAAATAAGCCCAGAACCACACAAAACATTTTCTTTTCAGCTTCTCTTCTGACTTAGGAGGCATGACTCTGGAAAGTCAAAGAGATGCAAAAGGGCTATAAAGGGCACAACCATTTCATATCAGGTAGTGTTCAAGGTTCCTTCTGTCATCAGAGTCTCACTTTAAATTAACACCAACACATCTATTTTGAAAGCACGTGAAATCAGCAGCCAGAGCTCCTTATACGTAGCCATCTCCAATCCATTATCCCTCCTGTTCTCACAGTGAAGTGTTATCTGGCCCTTCCAAGACAAGATTTTCTCTTTCTGACTCAGTTCTGAGAAGGTGAATGAATCATCTTAGTAAGCAGCAGTCACCCCCAGCCTCCTCCTCATACAACTGGTGCTGCACCTCCTTCTCCAAATTGTCCCTGGCTGCTCTCAGGAAGTGGGCCGCGGGCCTCCCCTAGCTCACCTCCCAGGAAGACAGCATCTTGAGACCACAGGCTGCCCCTACTCCTACACAGTTCCCCAGCATGGGGGTTCAGAGCAAGCTGAACACCACAAAAAGAGCACGAGGGAACTTACCTTTTCCATCTGTTGCTGATGCTTCTTGTAAATGTCTGATTGACCTAAAAATAAACATTTAGAGAACAAAAAGTTAGCTGACAAATCTGCACTTTCTCTCTCTTTCCAGCTGTAGTAATTTGGGGCCATGAATTCCTCAATTATATGCTGAAACGTTGGACTAGATCACTTTAGAGCACTCTCCCTAAAACGGAGGATGGTGGAAGCATCAACACGTCTGAGAGGTAAAGTCGCCCTCTGCTGGCCAAATCTGTGGCAGTAAGTCTAGCAGAAACCAGTGTGAGGAGAAAACGAAACTCCACCCCCACAACCATCCCCCTACCCAACACTCCACGACAATGGAGCCTCACTGAGCCCACCTGCCACAAGGAGAGAATAAACCCAGAAGAAAGTCACCAGCTGACTTCCAGAGTCTAAGTCCAGGAGCTGTGAATATGCAGCTCCATGTAACCTCATTTCATTGAATGGAGATTTTTTTTATATTGCTGAAAAATGTCAGCCTGCAGGGGCAGTTTTAGGCTGTGATGTGCTGGTAACTAATGACCATCATTACAGTTCAGGCAGGGGAACATTAACATTATTACAGAAGCAGCAGGTGAGAAGTGGAGGCACGATGCAAAGCCACCAATGGAGAGACTGGCCTGAGGGATGAGCAGGGCACAGGCAGACAGGGCTGCATGAGGGAAGGCAGGACGGGTCTGACGCCGTCACTCACTCTAGTCAGAAAATCGATTACTTTTCCTAAATACTCCGTAATTTGCCCACCCGTGAGAGGGGCTATCTGCTTGAGAACTGAATGCAACACCACATGCAAGTTACCCAGTACACTGCTGGCACTGAACCAATGCTGGCTGAATAGGAATACTTCAAGGTATTATTAATCTTGAATCGCCTCTCCAGTACTTACTTTTTTCATTTTGCAGTAATTTTCAGGATATTTATCTTAAGGAATTTTTGCATTTGGCTTCTGCTCATTAGTGTTGAAATTAACAAGGGGCAGAAAACGGCTGCTTACAACTGGACAGCCTGTTGGGGTTTCTTATATTTTACTGTTCTGATAGTGGCATGTGTAAAAGTAGGGCATGAACCTCTGTTCCCTAGTAAGATGCTCTTTCTATCTGGAAACAATGCTGGACATCCTATGTTACAGATGCCCAAGTAACTAATTCCTCTGCAGGGCAGCAGGAGACTGCAGTGAATATGAAGAGTCATTCATATTCCAGTGTGTACAGGGGATCCCGGCACTTTGAGAGGCTGAGTTGGGAAGATCATTTGAACCCAGGAGTTTGAGACTAGCCTGGGTAAAATGACAAAACTCTATGTCTACAAAAAATTAGCTGGGTATAGTAGTGTGAGCTACCCAGGAGGCTAAGGAGAGAGCATCATTCATATTCTCTCTTCTATGCTGGTAGCTGTTGGCTGAACTGATACTAGATCATGTGTGATGGATGATGGAATTAGTGTGAAGAGTGAATCTAACCGGCTGGAACGAGAAGTATTATCCACTGACACCATTAACTGACAAACCCCAGGATCCTCAAAAATATTAATTTAGGCCGGGTGCGGTGGCTCAAGCCTGTAATTCCAGCACTTTGGGAGGCCAAGGCGGGTGGATCACAAAGTCGAGAGATCGAGACCATCCTGGTCAACATGGTGAAACCCCATCTACTAAAAATACAAAAAATTAGCTGGGCATGGTGGCGCGTGCCTGTAATCCCAGCTGCTCAGGAGGCTGAGGCAGGAGAATTGCCTGAACCCAGGAGGCGGAGGTTGCAGTAAGCCAAGATCGCGCCATTGCACTCCAGCCTGGGTAACAAGAGCGAAACTCCGTCTCAAAAAAAAAAAAAAAAAAATTAATTTACTGGATGGGGCATTGCAAGAAGAAGCACCTTGGCAGGGCACAGTGGCTCACGCGTGTAATTCCAGCACTTTGGGAGGCCAAGGCAGGCAGATCACCTGAGGTCAGCAGTTCAAGACCAGCTTAGCCAACATGGCAAACCCTGTCTCTACTAAAAATACAAAAAAAAAAATTAGCCGGGAGTGATGGCACGTGCCTGTAATCCCAGCTACTCAGCGGGCTGAGACAGAAGAATTGACTGAACTTGGGAGGCAGAAGTTACAGTGAGCCGAGATCATGCCACTGCACTCCAGCCTGGGCAACAGGAGCGAAACTACGTCTTGAGGGGGAGAAGAAAAAAAGCAGCACCTCACTTCTAATGGAAGAACGCAGGTAAATCTATTTTCTTTAAACTTTATTTCAAAAGAACTGCATTCCAAAAGCCAGGGAATTCGATCACTAAGGGTGAAGCTAAGTGTTCTACTGCTGCTAGCCTTCTCCATTTCTGCCACTCTGCATGTGATTTAAGAAGGATACTCTTTCTCATCAACCACTGACTTGACACTAACACTTCTTTACACAGAACCAAAGCACAATCTATGCATCTAAACTCTGCCATTTCCAACCATTCTGAAGATATCAAAAATGTTTGTGTGCTGGTTTCATTATGTTGGCCAAGCTGGTCTTGGCAGGAACCGGCTGCTTATGGAATTTCCCCACTTCCCCACCACCACCACCAATTCAGGGTGCTACCTTCAATTGCTACCAAGTTCTCAGTTCCCAATTCTCTATTGTCTTAGAACTCTGTTAAATGCCAGCTCATGGTGACTGATTAACTCTACCAAAATCCCCTGGGTAACTTGAAAAAGACACAGGGTTCTGCTCCTGGAAACTGATTCAGGTCAAGATGGGACTCAGAAAGCTGTACTTTTTTTTTTTTTTCTTTGAGACCAAGTCTTGCACTGTTGCCCAGGCTGGAGTGCGATCTTGGCTCACTGCAACCTCTGCCTCAGCCTCCCGAGTAGCTGGGATTACAGGCACCTGCCACCACACCCAGCTGACTTGTATTTATAGTGGAGACGGGGTTTCATTATGTTGGCCAAGCTGGTCTTGAACTCCTAACCTCATGATCCACCCACATAGCCCTCCTAAAGTGCTGGGATTACAGGCATGAGCCACCGCACCCGGCCTGAAAGCTGTACTTTAAACACACATCCCATGCGACTGAGATCAATGTGGGAATGGCCAGTTCAGCTGGCAGGCTTGACAGCCAAGCTGTCACGTGGCCTCCCTTCCTGTGGGCTACTCACCACACCACTGGGAAGAGGATGGCACCACAACACAGCAGGTCAACCAGAAACAGAGAGTCCTTCCATAAGCCATATTCAGTCGTGCCCTCCTCGGTGGACTCTATGATGATGTAGGCTACGTTTGCCAGGACCTACAGACATGAGAATTTGCTGAGGCCCCAAAGCCTGGGTGGACTGTTACAATGCTAGCAGCCCCAGTGTGCGGTATACACCTTGGCCTCTAGACCCCCATCTGCGACCACAGCATTCTTTCCAGTCCCACGTGCTCTTCCAGAACTCTGCCATTCCACTATCGAGAAGGAGAGTCTCTAGGCCATCCCTCTAAACCTGAACAGGCCTCTAATTGCTCTAATACGGCAAGATGGAAGGGATGCTGTGTGATTTCCAAGGTAGATGAAGCTTCCACCCAGCTCTCTTGGGACCTTTGAACCCTAAAGCCTTCTTGTAAGAAGTCTGGCAACCCTGAAACTGCCATGCTGTAGAGACCATGCAGAGATGGAAAGACCCCCAAAGACCCCCCAGGAGCCCCAGATGTCCCAATCCCCACCTGCGCAAGCTTCTCAGCCCAGAAGACGGATGCGAGTGGAGACTTCAAGATGCTCCCAGCCAGAGTGTGATAATGACCACAAGACCCACGTCAGACCTACCTAGCTAGCCACTCTTGAATTCCTAACCCACAGAAACTGAGAGCATGAAGGGTTATTGCTGTTTTAAGTCACTGAGTTTTGGGGTGATTTGTTATGCAGCAATAGGTAACAAGGACACTTTGCTTTTTAGACACCCCAAACCTAGTGGAGTTGCTCAGGTGCTGGATAGGCGGCACTTAACACCCTATTTAGCCACAATGCCCACACTTTTCAGGCTCTGGTGCTCAGTGACAATAACTCATCTAAGCGCCAGACAATGGAACTGTGTTTTCAGAGACCAGAGCAGTGATAATGACTGACACCAGCCCCACAGCTGAGTGACCACACTGCTGCTCACAGGATCCTTCAAGTCCAGCTCCCCCCGCACAGGACACTGCCCAGCTCTTCCTCTGAGATTCACCAGTGTCCGCGCACTGCTTCTCCTTCCAAAGCGAAGGGCTTTGCCTCATGTACTCAGGCCCATAACCAGGCTCATAGCATAATAAAAGTATTTATAAAAAGTCTTTCTGGGCCAGGCATGCTGGCTTACGCCTGTAATCCCAGCACTTTGGGAGGCCAAAGTGAAGGATCATGAGGTCAAGAGATGGAGACCATCCTGGCCAACATGGTGAAACTCCATCTCTACTAAAAATACAAAAATTAGCTGGGCGTGGTGTTACGCATCTATAGTCCCAGCAACTCAGGAGGCTGAGGCAGGAGAATTGCGGAGGCAGGGAGGCAGAGGGTGCGGTGAGCCGAGATTGCACTACTGCACTCCAGCCTGGCGACAGAGCCAGACTCTGTCTCAAAAAAAAAAAAAAAGTCTCCGCTGGCTAAACTGAGATGGCACAGAGCATAAAGGAAAGGTACCACTTGTAATACATCCTTCTGAAGATTACCACTGGGAAGGGGTGCAGAGATCATCATTCCACTGATACACCCCATGAGAAGTAAATGGTCCCCAACACTCTGCCTAACTTGCTGTAAAGGTAACCCTCCACACTTCCACATGGAATGTAAAATCTGTAGTGCTCTTATTTGGGAAGTCTCTAAGTGTAATTTCTCTTTCTATACAGGACTCAGAAATCAAATTATCACTGAGGCTTCATTTAATACTAATGCAAAAACTATCTGAAATTTCAGCCTCCCACTGCCCCCCAGCTTCTGTGTTCTTCCCTGTCCCGAGGTCCTCATGAAGCCCTGTCTATCCAAAACATTTGCATCTGCGGCTCCATCAAAAAAGACAAAGTAGGGCTGGGTGCGGTGGCTCATACCTGTCATCCCAGCACTTTGGGGGGCCAAGGCAAAAGGATCACTTGAGCCCAGGAGTTCAACACCAGCCTGGGCAAAATAATGAGACCCTGTCTCTACTAAAAAAAAAAAAATTTTAATTAGTCAGGTGTGACGGTGTGCACCTGTGGTCCCAGCTACTTTTGAGACTGAGGCAGGAGGATCGCCTGAGCCCAGGAGTTCAAGGATGCAGTGAGCCATGATCACCATTGCACTCCAGCCTGGGAAACAGAGTGACACCCTGTCTAAAAATAAAAGGATAAAGTAGAAAACAAAGGCTTTCACGCCTTAAATTTGAAATTCCATTTTGTCCTTAATTCACACACTACATGAGGAAAGAATGTTTTCAGGGGTGCCTGTGTTGAACACTGTGCCAAGAGTGTTCTTGAAACACCATGTGCATGGACGCGATTTACTCCTTACCTAGACACTTTCAGTCACTGCCCGTGGCCAAAAGGAAGCAGTTCTAATTTTTCAGGCTGACATTCAAGGCCCTCTCAGACTAGTTCCATTGTCTAAATAGTTATAACTTTCTTAATTTGTTAAATGTCCTTATTTTCTCAGAGTGATATTCTGGGGGCGGGTGGGTGGGTGTGTTTATGTGTGTGTGTGTCTGTCTGTCTGTCTGCCTGCCTTTCAGAGAAGCCCAGGATGGGGAAGCTGGAAGGCCAGGCCCCATGGCAGCACAGTTCAGGCTGCTGGGGAGAGACTCTAAAGGATGAGGGAATCTACTAAAGGGAAGGGGCACAGGCAGCCGTGTGGCAACCCAGGCTCCATCATTCACAACTCGGAAACCTTGCAGGCTGTAGGCCTGTCTGGCTGAAGTGGCCCTGGTGGCTCGACAGCCAGGGACCAGCAGAGTCCCTCAGCATGTGTGCTCAGCAGGCAGCAGGGTCAAGTGTATCTTTTTTTTTTTTTTCTTTTTGAGAGGGGCTTTCTGGCAAAACCCAGAAAGCCTGCTAAACAAATTCCAAAACAGCTTTAACACTAGGGTCATGCCCCTGCCTCTGTCACATTCCTCTCCTTAAACACCCAGACCAGCGCCATCTCTGTCACAAGGCCCTCCTTGAGCCTTCCAACTTGAGTGCTTACTCTCTCCCCGGAAACCCAGAGCAACTGGCCTGTCCCATTCATTTGATGTCAACACACGTTCCTCATCATTGAACATGAGGGTGGACAAGATCTGTTAGAACTCAGAGAGGAGCTTTGCTGCCACCTCTGCCAGAGTCAGGAGGGCTGATGTGGGAGTGGTCCGCTTCCACCCACCACCTTCCACGTTTACCTTACACTCCAAAATGTTAGAACAGCTGACGGGGACAACTTCATCAAACAAATGCTGTCTGGTCAAACAGAGGAGAATATTTGTGCATCCCTGCTAAAACCTCTCTGTTTATTGGAAGTTCTTCAAGTTCGGCCTCCAGTAAGACAAGGCTCCACCCCCAAGAGACTCACAGCCTTATAAGGCTGGCCTCGGCCCTCGGCCTCCGGCCCCAAACATGGTAAGGATTTAGGAAACGTTTGCCCCTCAGGTCTACTACATATTCTACCTGTGGAAACTCACTGGTGTCATTCACAGTTTTAAAATACTTTGTTCATAAAATCACTACATCTCTGAGCTTCCTCACCAACAGCACCATTTTGTTATGAAGGAAACATAGAAGCAAACATGAAGAAAACAAGAAAAAACAGTACTGTGTGTCTCCTACATTGTCAACAGCTCTCTATGCAAAATCTAGGCGCCCAAAGGCCAGTGGCTGGCTGATGGCCAAGCATCTCCCAGTGCAATGACCTGAAGTCTATTCAGAATTCAGGAAGATAATCCCAGTCTTCAACCTCCACTAGCAGAAGCTGGGGTTTCAGAGTAAGCTGATTCCCTCTTCCCATACAGGCTTGGCGCGGAGCCCTGCTAAGTGCCAAGAGAGGACGTGACAAACAGGACGAGAGTTCCTTTACCTGGAGTGGGATGACAATCATGAAGATCTTTTTGTCTTTATCGGAAAGGATGTGCTTGATGAAAGCCCAGCCAGTGCCAATGAGTGCAATGGTGATGAAGAGCAGTGCCCCTTTCAAACTGGAAGAGAGAACAAGGGACACCAGCGGGTCTCTTTAGACTCTCACTGCCAGTTAGATTGCACAGCTCATTCTATGAGTTCACAAGCTTCTTACAAAAGACAGACAGCCAAATTCAGGAAATCCATCATACATGAGCCACAAAGTTAGCTCTGCACCCCACAGCCTGAACAGCCAATGGCCACAGAGAGGCAGGAGCATGCCACTAAGCCCGAGTTCTCAAGTTTGGATAGCCACCCATGAGCTCCACTCCTCCCGTATGGCAGGGTCCCAGACAGGCTGCCACAGGAGGGCAGGTTGTTGCCTACCCCCACTTCTCTTGTATGTCATTTCCTGGTGTATTTCATGTGTGCCTGCATACTTACAGGTGAGTGATGTAGTACACAACAGCCCAGCCTTCAATAGGGAAGCCCTGGGAGGAGATGTAGTGGTAGTCAATCTGAAATCAAACAACTGCAGTTTAGAATCACTCATTAGCTACACGGTTCCAAAAAGAATCTTAAAACTTGGACCCAGAAGGGAAATTATCCAAATAACTGTCATTTTGGGGCACTGTCACTGGATATATGATTGCCTTTTTCAAGGAGGACAATTTTTTTTTTTTTAATTTTAAAATAAAAAATAGAAGTTTTTATTGAGTTCTTTAAATTACATGTTTTTCTTCTTCTTGGAAAAGTTTTTAAATCAACCATTCATAATTTGACCAAAATTTAAAAAACTGATATTTTGTAAATGTGTCACAGACACACAGGACAGAACCCTACTTTTTGTAGAGGACCTTACTCCGAATAAAGTTATGAGTTTTTCAGTAATTCTCCGCTGAGTTTTCTGGTAATTTTACAAAAGCAAGCCCATCACTGTCCACTGGAAATGGGTTAGACGGATAGATATGCTTTCAGTTTATCCATGATTTCGTTCATCTTGTCACCTGGAATTAACATCACGATTCGCAAAGGCTTCACTGGTACGTCATCAAAAGACCATCTGCCACCTAGACAGCTGTCGCTCTCCTCCTGCACTAAGTAGCTGAACTTCAGAATTGCCTTCTCATAGAAAAATTCTTTCGAGGAGGACATTTTCAAGTGCAGCAAAGAGTACACATCTAGAGACTGTTACCCTTGCAAGCGTAGTCCATAGATGGGGGAAGTCGTGATCTTACCCCCACGGGCAAGTTCATTTTAATTTGCCTAAGTTCTAAATGCTCAAAGCTGAAGCTCAATTCTCATGCCTCCAGCTTTATCGCATCAATTTTTTCACAGATAAATCTGCCAATACTGAATTGAACTTCAAATCACATAGGAACATGAGGGAAACATAAAAAAGTCATGGAAACAATTTAGCAGGTTGCACTGTCTCCAGAAATGCTAAAAAATAAATTAATAAATAAAAACAATAAGTGTTCTAGAAAAATTGTAGGTGTATAAGCAGTATCAGAAGATGCCTGAAGTCTGGTATGAGGGGAGGTGGTAATCATCTACCCGCACGGCCAGGCCCTCCCAGACAAGAGGAGGCTTTATGAGAAATGTATTCTTCGTCTTTGTTTCCCACCAATCTATCCCCTTTCTTCAACCTTCTTTTGCCTGCCCAAATAGTCATTACATGTAATTTCATGAATGGTCCCCAAAATGCTAATACATACTGCATGGAACACCAAGGAAAGAGACTTGGTGAAAGGAAGGGCCGCCATCAGCCAGTGGATTTTAAATACATCATTCCTATAAAGACAGAGAAAAAAAAAAAATTAAAGGAAGATTCCATTCTCCCAAAGCACAGCCAAAGCTCCAGATACCAGCTATAGTTTACAGGAAGGCAGAAAATACAATCTGTGCAAACCACAAACATGAAACTTTTTTTTTTTTTTTTGAGACAGGGTCTCATTCTATTGCCTAGGCTGGAGTATAGTGGTGACATCAGGGCTCACTACAGCCTTGAACTCCTCAGCTCAAGTGATCAAGCAGCTCTCAGGAAGCTGAGGTCGGAGGATGGTTTCAGGTGTACACCGCCATGCCCAACTAATTTTATTTTGTATTTTATTTTTTTTTTTTTGAGACAGGAGTTTCGCTCTTGTTGCCCAGGCTGGAGTGCAATGGCGCGATCTCGGCTCACCGCAACCTCTGCCTCCTGGGTTCAAACAATTCTCCTGCCTCAGCCTCCTGAGTAGCTGGGATTACAGGCACGCGCCACCATGCCCAGCTAACTTTTTGTATTTTTAGTAGAGACGGGGTTTCACCATGTTCACCAGGATGGTCTTCATCTCTTGACCTCGTGATCCACCCGCCTCGGCCTCCCAAAGTGCTGGGATTACAGGCTTGAGCCACCGCGCCCGGCCTTATTTTGTATTTTTTATACAGAAAGAGTTTTGCTAAGTTGCCCAGACTGGTCTTGAACTCCTGGCCTCAAGCAATTCACCTACTTTGGCCTCCCAAAGTGTTGATACTAGAGGCATGAGCCACTACACCCAGATAAAACTTTTTTTTTTTTTTTTCAGATGGAGTCTTCCTCTGTCACCCAGGCTAAAGTACAGTGGCACGAACTTGGCTCACTGAAAACTCCGCCTCCTGGGATCAAGAGATGCCCCTGCCTCAGCCTCCTGAGTATCTGGGATTACAGGCGTGTGCCACAATGTCCAGCTAATTTTTGTATGTTTAGTAGAGATGAGGTTTCACCACATTGGCCAGGCTGGTCTTGAACTCCTGACCTCAAGTAATCCACCTGCCTCAGCCTCCTAAAGTGCTAGAATTACAGATGTGAGCCACTATGCCCGGTCACTTTTTTAACAAAGTACTTTTTGCTGGTCAAAAAGGTCTTGAATAGAGTCCTAAAGTAATCTCTGATACACAATTTAATGTTGTGAATGAACCTGAGTTTTGCACTGAAGCCAGACATAATGGGTTCCAACTCTTGAGTAAATGGAAATCTAACACAGCCTGCCAGCTTGCTCCCGGAAACCACCCTGGGAAAGCCAGAGGCAAGAATGAGGTAGATGGACCTGAAAAAACAGCACACAACACCCAGGAAAGCAGAACTCGATTACAAACAGCTGTAGGGGAAGTCTGCAGCCCAGAGTACAGGGGTTGGGAGCCAGCAGCAGGGATGTGTGAGGGGAAAGTGCTGGGGTCATGCTCCTTTCTCTCTCCTTCATGGCTGGTGTCTGCAAATACCCTACGCCAGTGAGATAAAGCACCCACTTCCCTGCCCACCCCATCACAGATACTAGTCTACCTTCGGGCTGCTGGGCATTAAATGCCTCTACTCTTTCCTGCCTCCCCTTAAGAATTAACCTAATAGAACATATAAGACTATTATGAGGCTGGGTGCAGCGGCTCACGCCTGTAATCCCAGCACTTAGGGAGGCTAAGGTGGGAGGATTACTCGAGCCCAAGAGTTTGAGATCAGCTTGGACAGGATGGCAAAACTATCTCTACTAAAAATACAGGAAGTTAGCTGGGGATGGTTGTGTGCACCTGTAGTTCCAGCTACTTGGGAGGCTGAGGTGGGAGAATCACTTGAGCCCAGGAGGCAGAGGCTGCAGTGAGCCGTGACTGTGTCACTGTACTCCAGCCTGGGAGACATAGCGAGCCCTTGTCTAGAAACAAACAGTCTCAAAACAAAAGTTTAGCCGAGAATGGTAGTGTGTGCCTATAGTTTCAGCTATTTGGGAGGCTGAGGTGGGAGAATCACTTGAGCTCAGGAGTTTGAGGCTGCAGTAAGCCTTGATCATGCCACTGCTCCAGCCTGGGCAACACAGTGAGACCCTCAAAAAAAGCAAAGAATATAGGCAGCCACAAGAAGGGAAACTGATATGGTTAATGAGTCCCTAAAATGATAATCCACATCACTAATATTCAGAGAAATGGAAAATAAAAGAGGTTACCAGTTTACGCTCATCAGACTAGCAAAAATTAAGACATCAGTATTGGTGAGAATGTGTAGAAACAGCACACCTTATGTATGCACCACTGGTAGACGTATAAACCTACATGCCAGGCTGGAAGGCAATCTGGCCCTTAATGAAATTAACCGATGGCCAGGTGTTGTGGCTTACACCTGTAATCCCAGCACTTCGGGAGGCCAAGGCAGGAGGATCACTTAGGGCAGGAGTTCAAAATTAGCCTAGCCAACATGGTGAAACCTTGTCTCTACTAAAGTACAAAAATTAGCCAGGCATGGTAGTGTGTGCCTATAGTCCCAGCTACTCGGGAGGCTGAGGCAGGGGAATTGCCTGCACTCAGGAGGCGGAGATTGCAATGAGCCGAGATGGTACCATTGCACTCCAGCTTGGGTGACAGAGTGAGACTCTGTCTCAAAAAAGAAGAGAAATTAACAACCCACGGCACAATGTGCTTCCTTCTGGACCTGCAGCTCGGAGGCTGTATGGATCCATACGGGACCTTAGGAGGTTCATGCCAGCATTGGCTGGGGTATCAGGGAGACGTATGCAGCCCAGGCTGTGTCCATCACTAAAGGACCGAAGCAGTCAAACGTGAGGACACAGAGCATGGGATGCTGTGGGGTAGGGAAAAATCAATGAATGAGACGCACACTCGGCCACATGGCTAGATCATAGAAAGGATATTAGTGAGTGAAAAATGTACAAGAACAATGTCTACAAATATTTTATGTAAATTTAAAATACATGCAACACCAATAAACAGTACTTACTTATAAGAATATAGAAATATCCAAAAATGAGGTTGGGTGCACGGCACTTTGGGAGGCCGAGGTGGGCAGATCACCTGGGGTCAGGAGTTCGAGACCATCCTGGGCAACATGGTGAAACCCTGTCTCTACTAACAATACAAAAATTAGCTGGGTATGGTGGCACATGCCTGTAACCCCGCTACTCGGGAGGCTGAGGCAGGAGAACTGCTTGAACCTGGGAGGTAGAGGTTGCAGTGAGCCGAGATTGCACCACTGCACTCCAGCCTGGGCAACAGAGACTCCGTCTCAAAAAAAAAAAAAAAGAAATATCCAAAAATGCATACGAAACACATTTAGGCAGTTCTCCATGGTTGGGAAGGAGTGGGAGAGGGGACAGGAAATGAAAGGGATCAATAGAGAGGGCCTAGCACCGAGTGATAATGAGAGTGTGCCACAGTGTGATGTCAGTTTCCAGGCTCATTTCCTCCCTGGTACTTTCCTATTCCAGTGTTCACCTACTTGAAGGTCAAAAAGGAAGTCAAGGCCAGAATCGTCTGTAACTACTGAATGGCAATGAGATTTACCCAGAGTATAAAACCACCCACCGCAAAGAGCTGTGCTCATTCACACACTCTGGTAACCCTGACTTGCAATCCATGGTTAGAACAGCTACGCTGGGGCAGAGACGTGATGGAAAGAACAAGCCTCACTGACATTGGCTCAAATACTAGTTCCGCCTACACTCGAAGCTGGGAGGGGCCTAATACATACTAGCAAGCAGACCTGGGTTCCGGTCCTAGCTCTGTCGGGTGATACTAGCTCTAGTTTCCCCTCTCTGGGTCTCAATAAATGAGGCAAAGGTCTCTTAGATGCCTCCAGCTTTCAGGGGCCTGTGAAATGTGCCTCGTGGCCTTGGTCACATGCCTTTATATCATGTGGGTTTCCAACCTACCAGAACTGACTCTAAGGCTCCTAGGAAAACACTGGCAGGGCTTAAGTGAGAGACTTTCCTCCATGCACCCTATACTACAACAAAAATTAAAGATGAGATTTGTACACAATAGTGTCAGCCTCATTTAACCACAATTGAAAACTGTTACCACAATTTTATAGAGTGAGACTCCATCTCAAAAAAAAGAAAAGTAAAAAAAGGAAATGGGGTCTTGCTATGTTGCCCAGGATGGTCTCAAACTCATGGAATCAAGTGCTCCTCCTGCCTTGGCTTCCCAAAGCACTGGGATTACAGGTGTAAGCCACCACACCCAGACATAGGATTCTTTCTTAGTAACTGCTGCTTGATAACCTAGTCCAAATATGATTATGTACGTCCTTCCCAAGTAAACAAGAAAATCTTTCCATCTGGTGGTGGTATACAGGATATCACAACAAATAGATAACAGCAACTGAACCCACCCAGAGTCTAATATAACAGAGCCTGAGCATGTCCATTAAAACACAATCAAGCTAGCAGGGATTAAAGAAGTCTCCATTTCCGCCCCAATGCTCCAGAGAAAGAGGTATTTCAGGGTGCTTAATTATTTTATGAATTTAAATCAATCTATATTATAATAGCATAGTCACATACCATCACTTACTCAGTTTATGGGTCTTACAATACTTTACATGATTCTCTAACTGAACATTAACATTTTGTTTTCAATTTTCTTGGAGGGAGAAAGAATTCCCGAATATCCAGCTGCTCCCCTCAAGAACCAAGTACAGGAAGTTAAAACCTCAGGGGTTTCAGAAAAAGACTAAAAGCCAGGCAGATGGGCTTTGAAGAGGCTTTGTCCAGTGACAAGCATCTGGAAGTCAATGCAGAGAATCTATCCCAGCACAGCTTTGAGCCAAGGCCTTCAGTGCTCTCGCCAGGCAGTCATCATCACTAACTTCCTCTCCAGAATAAACAGCCCCTGTGTGTTTACTCCTGGTCCTAGACTCTGGGATCTCCACTATGGAAACACTTAGATTATACAGTCTATTTTGCTTGCATATTATTAAAAATATTTAGATGTGCTTTTTAAACAAACAACAGGAAGAGAACAGACACCAAGGCATGCAAAGGCCTCCCACTCCATAATGCTCCCGCACAGTCTTCCTAGTGTTTCCAGGAAGACGCCCTTCGAAAGGAACAAGACTGCTTAGTGCCAACTGCCTCCAAGTTCAGAAGCCCGCAAAAGCTGAAATTATCCAAATCCCAGCTCACTCTTAAGTTGAAGGGCTCAAGGAAGTAACAGTTTACCGTCGTTTTCGAAGGATATGAATCCAGATGGTCCCCGAAAGAAAGAAAAAAAAGGCCATTGAGATGTATAATTTGGGGAGAGGAATTTCTCCTGCTGAGAGGTAGCTGTCCGGATTCTTCTCTGTGATGTCAATCTGAAATGGGCATGAAATTAATTTTTACTTTTCAGGAACATATCATCCTTTATTCAGCAATTTGGAATCTCAGCTATCTCACTTAGGCTTAGAGAGAGAGTACCAGCGGCTGGGCGTGGTAGCTCACGCCTGTAATCCCAGCACTTTGGGAGGCTAAAGCGAGTGGATCACTGAGGTCAGGAGTTCAGTACCAGCCTGGCCAACATGATGAAACCCCGTCTCTACTAAAAATACAAAAAAAAAAAAAATTAGCCAGGTGTTGTGGCAGGTACCTGTAATCCCAGCTACTTGGGAGGCTGAGGCAGAATTACTTGAACCTGGGAAGCGGAGGCTGCAATGAGCTGAGATCATGCCACTGCACTCCAGCCTGGACAAGAGTGAAACTCAGTCCTGGGGGGGAAAAAAAGTGAATACCAGCAAATAACAACCACATTCTTTTTTTTTTTTTTTTTTTTTTTTTTCTAATTTGAGACAGCATCTCACCCTTTTGCCCAGGCTGGAGTATAGTGGTGCATCTCTGCAACCTCTGCCTCCTGGGCTCAAGAAATCCTTCCACCTCAGCCTCCTGAGTAGCCAGGACTACAGGTGCACCCCACCACGCCTGGCTAATTTTTCATATTTTTTGTAGATAGGGCGTTTTGCCATGTTGCCCATGCTGGTCTCAAACTCTTGGACTCAGGTGATCTGCCCACCTCAGCATCCCAAAGTGCTGGGATTACAGAAGTGAGTCACTGCAAATGGCCTTCTGTTTGTTTGTTTTTTTAACCCAAGTCACCCACTTGAAACCACCATATTGTTTTTTTTTTTTTTTTTTTTACTCTTCTCCCCCAGGCTGCAATGTTATGGCACGATCTCGGCTCACTGCAACCACCACCTCCCAGGTTCAAGTGATTCTCCTGCCTCAGCCTCCCGCACCTGGCCAAAACCACCACATTCATCTTAACGCTCAGGTTCAAGTGCAGGCACATCCTGAATTGCTTTGCATTTTCTCATGACTCCTCTACTGAAGTATCACCCGGTGGCAGGGATGTATCCTGCCCAGTGGCAGGTCTGAAATGTTCTTAAAACCTAATCTTACACAGAAGTAAATCTTGTATTTTATGCTGACAAAATCCACGTAGAACAATCTCCAGACAGTACTCACATCAAGGCTGAATGAAAACTTGTCACTCGGCAATTCATTTCTAAGACATTTATGAAAATAAAGGCTGTAAAGGCCTTCTTGGTCATCAGTGCTGATGTTAAAGAAAAACTGAAAGTGAAGAAGAAAACATTTAAAGGTACCCAAACCCTCAGCTATATATACATATATTTTTTTCTTTTATTTTTAAAGTGTTGTTTACTTTTTTCTTTAAGTTCTACTCAGCTGTATTTTTAAACCTTATAAATAAATTACGAGTATTAATGGACTGAAGGAAATAAAGACAGACTGCTTAAATTACTGACTCTCATGGCAGAGTTTAAACTGATGTTATATATTCTATGATTCCCCTCTGATATTTTATTACAATTTTCAAGTATACAGAACAGCTGCCAAATGCACAGTGAAAGCTACATAGCTACAACCTCGCTTCTACAATGAACATTTTTCTATGCCTGCCCTATCACAGATCTAGCCATTTGTGATGGTCTCTGCAGAAGTCTTCAAAGATAACCTAAGATGTATTTATCTAGTCTTCAAGCTAACATATCCATTTTGCTCTTTATAGGCATAAAATACTCCTTAAAAAAGAGGCTCACCTCATACTTGAAAACAACCAATTTCATCAAAATTTACAACTATGGTTTTAGAGAACAATAATGAAAGCTACATTTTCTATATTTAGACAGTTTTCTGCTTTTCATACATTTCATGAGTTTAGATGAAGTTTAATGTAAACCAAAGACAGACAGACTCAGAGAATATGACTTCTTGGTCAAGCCTAAGAACATTTTACTTCAGCCATAAGTTCTACCAATAAAAAGAAACCTGCCTGAAATATCTTTTTAGGGCTACAAATATATACCTATTAAACTACAAAGAAAAGCTAGGAAATGACTATGGTAGCATTTTTCATGATGGGGAAGGAATGCAAGAGAGACATGAGGTTTCTCAGGTGCTCACATAAAGATGACTGTTCGGAGTAACTTGTTAAACTAAATGTAAGCACTTTACAGTCTTCTGCATGTATACTGAACCTCACAACTTAGAGGAATGGGGGGAAAAGACATCTGACAGAAATAAAAATAAAAGACTAAGAACATGTGAGCTGGAATTATCCAAACAGATCATGTCCCAAACTCAGTTGCGGTTGTGAATGTGTATATGTATTTTAGTCCCCTGAGCTAGCCAGAATAAGGAAACTTTCCTAAACACATTGACAACTTCTATTCTAAAAGTAAGATTCAGGGGAAGTCTAAAAAAGATATAAATGTTTAAAAGATACAATATTTTTAAAAAATCAACAGAATCACCATGGTTGATCAGAGGAGGCACCTGATCCTTAGAGACAAAAACGAAACAAAACTGTGAACTCTAGAATTGGAGTAAGGCCTGGTAGCCCCTTCCTGCATTTAGGTAGATAAACCACTATCCCCATGCCATGAATGAAGCAGAGGAGCTCAGAATGGACTACACTGGCCAAGACTGGGAGACAGGGCAGAACAGCAAGAAATCACGACGACTTCTTTCCAAGGTGGGGGAAAGCCAGAGAAAAGCAAACCACCCATCCATGGCCTGCTCCACGCATCCCAAGAACCGTGCGGATGGACTGTTTCAGCACGTGTTCCTCATCACCTCGCAGACTGCTGTGCCTGGATGCTCACCCAACACAAAGGACTATGCCTGACATGTGTGCATCCTATCACACTTTCCTTTGTGATTAAAGGGGGGAGCATTTTAAAAACTCATTTTATTAACAAGCATTTTAAGGTGAGAGAAGGACGAGAGAAAAGGACCTTTTGTATTTTCTCAAGGAGGCAGTAAAAGGCAAAGTGGTTAAACACATGGGCCTTGGAGTCAAACAAATGTGGACCTGAATCCCCAGCTTGGGGCAAGTTACATTACCTCTCTGAGCCTCAGTTCCTCATCAGTAAAAGAGAAGAAGTAACAGTACCGACTTCACAGAGTTGTTGAGAGGATGATCTGAGATAATGACATATACGCACTTAGCACAATGCCTAGCATTGGTTCATTAGTCTCTGTAAATATAGGCCAAGATAGGAGTTTCAGACACAACAATAAGAGAGGGAAACCCCACCCCTAAGGTACTTTCTGCAGAGGGGGAGACAGACAATAAATGTTAAGTCAGTACAGCAAATGGCATGTTGGAAGGGAGAACACTAAGGAAAACCAGAGCACAATCAGGGAAACAGGAGTGAGCTGCCATCAAGAGAAGCTTGGTTGAGAAGGTGACATTTCAGCAAAGACTTGCGGAATTCTGAGAGACAGCGTTCCTGCCTGTAGGAACAGCTAAAGCAGAGTCTAAAGGTTGATCTGTCTGAGAAAGAGCAAAGCGGCCTGTGTGGGAGAGCAGAGTGTGACTAACAGGAGCTGAGGTCAGACAGACAACAGGGGCTGGACCACATGGGCCTTGTAGACCAGTGGGAAGACTTGGGCTTTACTCCAAGACAGATGGAAAGCTGTTGGAGGATTCTGAGCAAATGAGCACCCTGCGAGTTCTCAGTAACTGTTAGCTTTTAATATAGATAGTGATGAAATGATGGTTACTAAAGCTTCAAGAACATACAAAAATTGTTGAACAGGCAAAATGATCTAGGGTAAAAGAAATCAGAACAGTGTTTGGGGGGATGGAGGGGCTTTCTCAGAAGATGGAAACAGAAATCTTGATAGAGAGTGAATTACATGGATATATGCATTTGTCAGAATTGAACAAACTGTACACTTAAGACAAGACCTGTGCATTTCACTGCAGGCATTTTTTTTTTCTTTTTTTATTTTTGAGACAGGGTCTCACTGTCACCCAGGCTGCAGCGCAGTGGCATGCTCAGGGTTCACTGTGTGAATCTTGACCTCCCAGGCTCAAGTAATCCTCCTGCCTCAGCCTCCCTAGTGGCTGGGACTACAGACATGCAGCATCACACCTGGCTAATTTTTTTTTTCTTTTTTTGTAGAGACAAAGTTTCACCATATTTCCCAAGCTAGCCTTGAACTCCTGAGCTCAAGTGAACCTCCCACCTCAGCCTTCCTTGTAGCTGGGACTATAAGCATGTACCACCATTCCTGGCTACTTTTTGTATTTTTTGTAGAGACAGAGTTTCACCATGTTGGCCAGGCTAGTCTCATACACCTGGGCTCAAGCAATCTGCCTACCTCAGCCTCCCAAAGTGCTGGGATTATAGGCATGAGCCACCATGCCCTGCCATTTTTTAGATGATTAAACAGTGAGGTTCAGAAAGTGAGACTAGGCAGGGTGGCTCCCATCTGTCATCCCAGCATCTTGACTGAGGCCCAGTCAAGAGGACTGCTTGATCCCAGGAGTTCAAGATCAGCCTGGGCAACAGAGCAAGTCCTCATCTCTACAAAAATTTAAAAATTAGCCGGGCATGCTGATCTATGCCTGTAGTCCCAGTTACTCGGGAGGCTGAGGATCATCTGAGCCTGGAAGGTTGAGACTGCAGTGAACCATAATTGTATCACTGCACTCCAGCATGGGCAACAGAGTGAGACCTTGTCTCAAAACCAAAACCAAAAGAAATCAGGTGAGTTATCCAATATCACCCACCTCGTAGGTGGGTTCGGAGACCCAATCCAGTATCTTGTTCCCATACATATGCTATCATGCTGCCACTAAACACTCATGGGCAATTAATAACTGTGACAGCTGAGCAGGTCACTCAAAGCCTCCAAGTCTCAGTGAAATCATCTCTAAAATTACATCACCCTAAATTATAACCAACGGTCCTTTCAGGCATAGAGTACTATGCTTCTGGCATACTATGAATGGGAGGCAGCATTGGGTCAGGACATAGGGGTCACAGGAACAGCCAGGCAGGACTGGGCTGGAAACTGCCCTTGTCACCTACACTACATAGTCACCAAGTTATTTATTCTCAGAGACTTATTATTTGATAAGTAGACAGGTAACCATATCCACCTTTGTGAGCTTGTTATAGAGAGAGCTACTGCATTTAAGTGACTGATACAGGGTATACCTAAGTTGTTATTCCTAAATTCAAAATTCCTCTAAAAAAAATATTACCCTTTTATATGGTAGAGAGAAATTCCATGAGGCTTTACACAACATACATACCTGAAATGACACTGTCCCATCATTATTATGAACAGAAAAGGATTTCTCTCCCATGGCCTAAAAAGACATAACAATACGTTTTAGGATGACACTGGCATAGAAAGTATGCTAATTAAAACTAATTTATTAAACAAAACAAAATACGTTTCTTAAACTCTGAATTTGCTGACCTTCAAGAGCTCTCTGAAAGTAAAACTGACTATACTTTAAAGATGTCTGAAATCTACTTTCACAGAAAATGGTGGTTGTTCTTCAGCTGTCTCTTCTGCCTCTGCACTAACTCCTACCTCCACCCCCTGGCTTGAATCTTTCTGCTAGACAGCTTGTCTACCCTTGAAGCTTCAGCCAGACTAAGGGTGCTGACCCAGGCCATGCCCTGTCACATCCCCTGAATTCCACCCCTGACATCAAATGATCAAAATATCGGCCAAGTGCAGTGGCTCACGCCCGTAATCCCAACACAATGGGAGGCCGAGGTGGGCAATCACTTGAGGTCAGGAGTTCAAGACCAGCCTGGCCAACCAGGTGAAACAACATCTCTACTAAAAATACAAAAATAAGCCAGGAGTGGTGGAGTGCACCTGTAATTCCAGGTACTCAGGAGGCTGAGGCAGTAGAATTACTTGAACCTGGGAGGCAGAGGTTGAGATCGTGCCACTGCACTCCACCCTGGGTGACAGAGTGAGACTCCGTTCCTTCCAGCAAAAAGAAAGATCAAAATATGTCATCTGTACAATAAAACTAAGCAATGAAAAAAAAATGATACATGCAACAATGTGGATAAACTCAAAGTAATTAAGCTGAATGTAAGACAAAAAAGTACTGCATAATTCAGCTGTATAAAGTTCTATAAAACTATACTATAGTGACAGATCAGTGATTGGGGATGGGAGCTTACAAAAAGGCAGAAGAAATTTTGGGGGTGATGGATAGTTCACTCTCTTGATTGATAGTCAAAGTTATCAAATTGCTGCTTTACCTACATACAGTTTGTCAATTATACTTTAAGAAAGCTGTAAGACAAAACATCACCATTTGATGTCCCCCTCACTGAGAAATCAAGACATCGCAAACCCAAACTTTCCCAATTTTTCCACTTCTATTTCTACCACCCACTCCTCTGCTCTGCTCTTTCCCTCCCATCACCCTAACTGGCTTCCCAGTCATTTACCGTCTTAGGCTCTGCTCTAGTCCAGATCCTCATCACCCTAAACCTGTGTTATCACAACAGCGCCCTTCCTGGTCCTTCTAACATCACTATCTCCTTCTCCAAGGATACTTTGCACATTACTTTCAGAATCATCATCTTTAATAAACACAGTCTTTCCCAATCAGGAACTCAGGATGACTTTCCATTGCCTGTGCATCTACTCCCTCTATTGCCTGGTCCTACACTATCTAATATGTCTCTCTGCTCCCATATACGTGCCTTTCACTTCACACAAGCCAGTGCCCAGCATCTGTCTCATCCAGTCTTTGCGTATGGCATTCTTCCTCCCCTTCCTTCTCTTCCTCCTCGCTGAACAAACTGCAAACTAAGCCCCAGTGACAACTTCTTCCAGAGGGCTTTTCTGATGGCCTGGCATCTTCCTTCCCTAACTACCTGACCCAATATCATGTAAGTGTCACACAACTTATAAATCAATTATCAACTTTGTTTTTTTTTTTTTTTTTCCTGGAGACAGGGTCTCACCCAGGCTAAAGGGAAGTGGCACAGTGATGGCTCACTGTAGCCTTAGCATCCCAGGCTCAGGTGATCCTTCCACCTCAGTCTCCAGAGTAGCTGGTACCACAGGCACGTATCACCATACCTGCTAGTTTTCCTACTTTTTGTAGACAGGGTTTCACCATGTTAGCCAGGCGGTCTTGAACTCCTGGGCTCAACCAATCCACCCACGTCAGCCTCAAAGCACTGGGATTACAGGTGTGAGCCACCATGCCCAGCAGGGAATCAATTTTTCTCTGAAATTGTTTCAGTATGCCAATGTTCTCCCCCAAAATAGGAGAAAATTCCCTGTAGATAAATTTTTTAAACTTTTCTTTGAGACAAAGTCTCGCTCTGTCACTCAGGCTAGAGTGCAGTGGCGCAATCTCTGAAGATTGCTCACTGAAGCCTCTGTCTCCCAGGTTCAAGCAATTCTCCTGCCTCAGCCTCTAGAGTAGCTGGAATTACAGGCATGCACCACCATGTCCAGCTAATTTTTATATTTTTAATAGAGACAGGGTTTCACCATGTTGGCCAGGCTGGTCTTGAACTCCTGACCTCTAGTGGTCCCCCTGCCTCAGCCTTCCAAAGTGCTGGGATTACAGGCATGAACCACTGCACCTGGCCCCCTGCAGATGTGTGTGTGTATATATATATATATATATACACATGTATATATATATATATATATATATATATACACGTGTATATATATATATATATATATATATATACACACATATATATATATATATACACACATATATATATATACATATATACACACATATATATATATATATATATATACACACACATATATATATAGTTACCTCTCTGTATTGCAGGTTCCACATCTGCAGAATGAACAAACTGCCAACCAAAAATATTTTTTAAAGAAAGATTAAAAAGTAACAGTAATAAATAATACAAATAAAAAATCAGCCAGGCATGGTGGCTCATACTTATAATCCCAGTACTTTGGGAGGCCGAGGCGGGCAGATCACCTGAGGTCAGTTCAAGACCAGCCTGGCCAACGTAGTGAAACCCCGCTCTACTAAAAATACAAAAAAATTAGCTTGGCGTGGTGATGCATGCCTATAGTCCTAGCTACTCAGGAGGCTGAGGTAGGAAAATCGCTTGAACTCAGAAGGCAGAGGTTGCAGTGAGCTGAGACCATGTCATTGCACTCCAGCCTAGATGACAGAGAGACTCTGTCTCAAAAAAACAAAAAACAAAAAACTTCAACACAGTGTAACAACTGTTTACACAGCATTTACGTTGTGTTAGGTATCATAAGTAATCTAGAGATGTTTTAAAGTACACAGGAGGATGTGTGTATGTGTAAATACTATGCCATTTTATATATGAGACATGAGCATGTACTGATTTTGATATTCACTAGGGTTCCTGTAACCAATCCCCTGTGGATACTGAGGGACAATTGTATATGTATTTGTGTGTGAATGCATCTATGGATATTTATCAATACACACACACGTATACAACACACACGTACACAATATCCAGGCAAGCTGAGCACAAAAAGGGTGGTTAGTTCTTACCTTTGAATCCACTGTACTTCTTTTAGATTTTCCACTGTCTAGAAGCAGAAACATTTAAAAGATAGCACTGCATTACTCAACTTACAGAGATATATATACATAACTATCATTTTATGAGGCTACAGCTTATCTAATATCAAATAATTAAAACAAAATAATCGCCGGGCGCGGTGGCTCAAGCCTGTAATCCCAGCACTTTGGGAGGCCGAGGCGGGTGGATCACGAGGTCGAGAGATCGAGACCATCCTGGTCAACATGGTGAAACCCTGTCTCTACTAAAAATACAAAAAACTAGCTGGGCGTGGTGGCGCGTGCCTGTAATCCCAGCTACTCAGGAGGCTGAGGCAGAATTGCCTGAACCCAGGAGGTGGAGGTTGCGGTGAGCCGAGATCGCGCCATTGCACTCCAGCGTGGGTAACAAGAGCAAAACTCCGTCTCCAAAAAAAAAAAAAAAAATACAAAAAAAAAAAATAATAATCTTGGGGACTGCCATGTTCTCAGGTCCCAAAACATAATATGTGTATTGTTGAAGCAGCAAATCAGACCTTGTTATATTATTAACGGTATGGAGTAACTGATGATATTAACAACATAATTCAGTTCTGGATATTCCAGTGTATGTTATTGCCAGAGAAGCCACATGGAATGACTTTCCTATTTGTCTAAGTAATCACACTGGAAAACATAATTTTTAAGAAAAAGGCCGGGTGCAGTGGCTCACCCCTGTAATCCCAGCACTTTGGGAGGCCGAGGCAGGTGGATCACCTGAGGTCAGGAGTTCAAGACCAGCCTGGCCAACATAGCAAACCCCCCTCTCCACTAAAAATACAAAAATTTGTACGCCACCACCCCAGCTGGGCGTGGTGGCGTACACCTGTAATCTCAGCTACTTGGTAGGCTGACACAGGAGAATCCCTGGAACCCGGAAGGCAGAGGTTGCAGTGAGCCAAGGATGCACCACTGCATTCCAGCCCAGGCGACAGAAAAAAAAAAATTAGAAAAGAAAAACTATGAAATACATTTACACACTTGGAAAAGTTAATAGCAAGTAATCCTAGCATAATAACACTTTCTTCCCTACAGCAAGAAGTATGATTGCTAATGGCTTCTTTCATGGAACAGAATTTTTTGTTTTCACTTAAGATGTTCTTTGTGGAAAGACTGGACTTCAAGCTCCCTGCAGGAAAGGAGAAAATAAAAAGAAACAAAATAATATTTTCTTCCCAGGAATGGTCATATGAACACAAAGAACCTAGACAAGAAGGAGATGGTTCACAGGCATTAACCTACACCATCGCACAAATGCAGTCTTTTTTTTTTTTCCCTTTTAAGATGGAGTCTCACTCTGTCACCAGGCTGGAGTGCAGTGGTATGATCTCGGCTCACTGCAACCTCTGCCTCCCTGGTTCAAGTGATTCTCCTGCCTCAGCTTCCCAAGTAGCTGGGACTACAGGTGCACACCACCATGCCCAGCTAATTTTTTTGTATTTTGGTAGAGACAGAGTTTCACCATGTTGGGCAGGATGGCCTCTATCTCTTCACCTCATGATCCACCCGACTCAGCCTCCCAAATGCTGGGATTACAGGCATGAGCCACCACACCCAGCCAAATGGAATCTTTCTGTATGGCTTTTAACCGTAGTCAAGCTAGGACAGACTGAGTGATACACAGTTTGGATGTCTGTCCCCTCCAGATCTCATGTTGAACTGTAATCCTCAATGTTGGAAGTGAGGCCTAGCATGAAGTATCTGGATCATGAGGGCATATCCCTCATGAATGGCTTGGTGCCCTCCTTGTGGTAAGGAGTGAGTTCTTTCATGTAAGATGTGGCTGTTTACGAGTGTGGCACCTCCTCACTCCTACTCCCGCTCTTGCCATGTGACCTGCCTGCTCCCCCTTCACCTTCTGCCATAATTAGAACCTTCCTGAGGCCCTCACCAGGAGTAGATGTCTGCACCATGCTTTGTACAGCCTGCAGAACTGTGGGCCAATTAAACCTCTTCTTTTGTTTTTGTTTGTTTGTTTTTTGCTGGTGGTGGTGGTTGCTTTTGAGACTAGCTCTTACTGTGTCACCCAGGCTGGAGTGCAGTGACACAATCTCAGCTCACTGCAGCCTCCATCTCCCTGGTTGAAGACATTCTCCTGCCTCAGTCTCCCCAGTAGTTCAGACTACAGGTATGTGCCACCACATCCGGTTTTTGTATTTACAGTATAGATGGGTTATACCATGTTGGCCAGGCTGGTCTTGAACTCTTGACCTCAAGCAATCTCCCTGCCTTAGCCTGCCAAAGTGCTGGGATTACAGACACGAGCCACCACGCCCAACCTCTTTTCTTTATAAATGACCCAGTCTCAGGTATTCCTTTACAGCAACGCAATGGACTAACAAATTGAGAAAAAAAACTGTCTAAGTAGTAAGTATGTATATATTTATTTCATAGACAGGGTCTTGTTCTGTCACACAGGCTGCAGTATGTAGCCTAGAACAGTCAGGCTTGAGCCATCCTCCTGCCTCAGTCTCCTGAGGAGTTGTGACTACAGACACATGCCGCCATGCGCGGCTAATTTTTTTATTTTTGTTTTTGCAGAGACAAGGCCTCGTTATGTTGCTCAGCCTGGTACCAAGCTCCTAGCCTCAAATGATCCTCCCACTTTGGCCTCCCAAAGTGCTAGGATTACAAGTGTGAGTCACTGCACCTGGCCATAAATTATCTTACAAACTCATATGAATCATCAGATGAACTTGACAGTCAATTTAAAAAAAAAAAAAAGGTGATAAAAATAAATTGGTTAATCAACACATGGAGAAAAAGTGCAGTGTCAGTAATAAAAGTAAATAGAAAAACAGTGGCCAGGCACGGTGGCTCACGATGTCAGGAGTTCAAGACCAGCCTGACCAATATGGTGAAATCTGGTCTCTACTGAAAATACGAAAATTAGCCAGGCGTGGTGGCTCATGCCTGTAGTGCCAGCTACTAGGGAGGCTGAGGCAGGAGAATCACTTGAACCCTGGAGGCGAAGGTTGCAGTGAGCCAAGATTGAGCCACTGCACTCCAGCCTGGGTGACAAAATGAGACTCCATTTCAAGAAAAAAAAAATGTATATGTCTGTGTGTGTGTGTGTGTGTGTGTGTGTGTGTATAGGAATATCTTTTTTGCCTGTCATTTTAGGATTTTTTTTGATAAGAAAATACCCCATATTGGCTAGGACATAATAATGTGCATACTATTCCCACATATATTCAGTAAGACATACAACTCACTTGGAAAGGAATTTAAAAATATGTATCAATATTTTCAAAAGCATTCATATCCTTTGAACCAGAAATTTCAATTCTGAAAACCATCATAAAGAACATTCTATACATGAAGAGAGTTCATATTCACACAAAAATGGAAATGTGTCTCCTTAAGGGGAAAGATTGAGCAAATTACAGTATCCACTCAGCAGGATAGATGATAGGTATGAAATGAGCTAAAAAGTCATCAGGCATGCATATAAATTATAAGCATGACTGAATTTCAAAAATCAAATCTTCTAGACTCATGAAACAAGCTTATATGAAAACATAAATTACTAAAACTCTAACACTGGGAATAAGGAAAAATGGCTGCTGTTTTTCCATCTGCTTCACATTTTCCACATTTTTCTTTAACATTTATATATTTTTGTATGACTTCCAAAATATAATGCCAGGACAACAGATCATGTTTTGCTTAGGAACAAAAAAAGCTTCTATGAAGCAGGTAGTGAAAATTAAAAGCCAGTTTCCACCTTATGGTTTACCTTGTGTCTTCTGAGTCTGGCTGCCTGCTGAAACAGGGTTCACATTAGGCTCCTGGCTCTGACCAAGGACTTTCTCATCCCTGCTGAAGATGATTTTCGGTAACTGGGTACCAGCTTCTGGTGGAGACTTTACTGTTACCCTACATTCAAACAAGACAGAAGGAAAAAAGGTCAAAGCAGTGCTCCTGGCCACTGAACATGCTGTGTGCAGGCCCTCTGCCAAGCTCATGCAGTCCTTATGATGTTCTACAACACAGATTCTATTATTCACATTCTGCAATACTGAAACCGAGGCTCAGAAAAGTTAAATAACTTGGCCAAGAGCACCTATAGGAAGTAGCTGGACGAGGATCCAGGCAGTCTCTCTTAGGCAGGCGTCCCCAAACTACGGCCCGCGGGCCGCATGCAGCCCCCTGAGGCCATTTATCCGGCCCCCCGCCGCACTTCAGCAGGAAGGGGCACCTCTTTCATTGGTGGTCAGTGAGAGGAGCACAGTATGTGGCGGCCCTCCAATGGTCTGAGGGACAGTGAACTGGCCCCCTGTGTAAAAAGTTTGGGGACGCCTGCTCTTAGGCCTAAGATCTTAGCAACCACATAAATCTGAGGTACATCTTTTCCCTCAAGTATCCTTAAAATGCTCAGCAAATTGGTGCACGAGAGAAACAGAATGAAATATAAAACATCAGTAAGACTTTAAAGTGAAATCCAGGCCGGGCACTGTGGCTCACACCTGTAATCCCAGCACTTTGGGAGGCTAAGGCGGGTGGACCACTGGTGGTCAGGAGTTTGAGATCAACCTGGTGAACATGGTGAAACCCTGTTTCTATTAAAATCACAAAAAAAATTGTTCAGGCATGTTAGCGTGTGCCTATAGTTCCAGCTACTCGGGAGCCTAAGGCAGGAGAATCACTTGAACACGGGAGGTGGAAGTTGCAGTGAGCCAAGATCACACCACTGTACTCTAGCCTGGGCCACAGAGCAAGAGAGACTCTGTCTCAAAAAATAAAAATAAAAATAAATAAAGTGAAATCCCAGGAAGCACGAGAGGGCAGTGGCACCGTTCGTTGCTGCCTAATATCCATTTCCACCCTTCCCGCTTCTTACAAGACCCGATTTTGTTTACTCCATCCCACCCAGGAGAGGCCAGTGACAGTTCCCATGCCTGAGTGGATGCCCAATCTAAGCTGGCACATTCAAGCACTTCTCATTCTAACTAGAGGAGGAGCCTGCTCTCTGTCCCTTGGCTGGATATGGATGACAGAGCACAGCCACCTGGTGACGGCTGGGAAACTTGCCTGAGGAAGCTAACACCCAGGACGGCAAAGCAGAGAGATGAAACGCACCAGAGTCCTTAACCAGAGTCAGCCAGCCACTGCAGGCCTGTCTCTTGCCTGCCCCACTGAAGACAGGTGAGGTTATCAATGTCTTCACTACAAATGCCAGAGTCTAAGTCAAGTCTTTTGTTGCTTGCTGCCAAAAGCAGCCTAACTAATACAGGAGACTATCAGATCAATTTTTTTAAATGAAAACAGAGGTTATCATGGAGAATATTTTAAAAGTTCAGGGCCAACACTTATCTGAAGCCTCTCCTTCCTTTCTACAATTCATGAGTTCTTCTTCCCTTCCTCTCTTTATTTGGCTGTAATTTTGTGTAGCGCCATTCTGTCTCCCCCATCAAGGACAGGGCCTCTGTCTCCCTAGCCTTGTCTTTAATCTCCAGCACTCAGCATGGTCTTTGGCACATGGCAGACACCCAAGGAACGTTAGCGTACTACTAAATTCTCCCCAACTCTACTCTAGAACTGAACTGAAGGAACTTTAGAATTACTTACTCACTTCTGGAGATGTCTAGGATTAGAAGGGTGACAGAGACAGACTCTTTCTTTAAAATACAGTAATTCACATCTTCATCCTGAGAAAGGAAGAGCCAATTTTACATAATCTTATTCATTCACACTAGAACAGAAAGTTTTCAGAAACTTAGCAAATGAGTGGCTCAAACTCCATTCAAAATAGTAAACCGTCGGGCCCGGTGGCTCACACTTGTAATCGCAGGACTTTGGGAGGCTGAGGCAGGTAGATCATGAGGTCAGGAGATTGAGACCATCCTGGCCAACATGGTGAAACCCCTATCTACTAAAAATACAAAAATTAGCCGGGTGTGGGGGCAGGCACCTGTAGTCCCAGATACTCAGGAGGCTGAGGCAGGAGAATCGCTTGAACCCGGGAGGCGAAGGTTGCAGTGAGCTGAGATCACGTCATTACACTCCTGTTTGGGTAACAGAGCGAGACTCCGTCTCAAAAAAAATGGTGTTGTGGCCGGGCGTGATGCCTCACACCTGCAATCCTAGCACTTTGATAAGCCAAGGTGGGCTGATCACTTGAGTCCAGGAGTTTGAGACATAGCCAAGAAAGTGTGAAACCCTGTCTCTACTAAAAATACAAAAATTAGGCAGGCGTGGTGATGCATGCCTGTAGTCCTAGGTACTCAGGGGACTGAGGTGGGAGGATTGCTTGGGCCTGAGACGTCAAGGTTGCAGTAAGCTGATCGTGCTACTGTACTCCAAAAAAACGAAAATAGCACTACAGGAAGTTAAGGTGTTCCCATTCAATGGCCTGAGTTCAAATAAAGACACGGACCAGGTCACACATTTAATACTCACCAGGTAAGATGAAAAGCCATCATTCTTTGTACGGTCTAGGCTAAACCCAATCTAATAAGGAGTAAAAAGAGAAGAAGTAAATATCCACACAATTGTCCATACTTTTCTTACTCAAAAAGTAGAAAAGGCGGTACTTCTGACGTGGTTTCCTCTCAGTTTTCTTAGCATTCATTTTGTAAGAAGGCAAACTAAAATCACTCAAGTCAAGTCAGTAATTACTAGAATTATTACAGCATTACATCTCAAGTGATAAATGTGAAATTATTTGATGCCTGACATGTAATTTGCTACTCACAAGCTTCATTATCTCCATATTCTGATACTTTATATTTAAGCACTGGGGTTGGAAGGTGGCTCTCACCCAGGCTAAAAGAGTAAACCCTTGGATCTCATTAAAAGGTACTTACAATCACACCCTTGTCTTCAGGCTCATTCACTGAGAGGCTACTGACATTAACCACCATATAGCCATGCTTGAAGAATCCAAAGGTGTTCAGATGAACCTTATGCCTCACATCGTCCTAAAGAGACATGAAGTGGTGGAATCAGTAATATGGAAAACTGCTTTCCATTACTTAACCTATTTGTTTTCTTGAAAAACTGTGATATCTCATTTCCTGATAGCCAGCCAACGTTTCCATATACTCAGTAACATACACAGCTGTGGTAAAACATGTCTTTCTCCAAAAGCTGAAGACAACTCCTCAGAAATCCAAAAGATATCAACAGTTTCTGCAGAAGGAAGTACTGAATGGATTCAAATTCACTCCACTGCACTGGTATGGGTTCTAGGAGCAAGCTCAGAGGTTGGCTGGAATGTGAATTCCAGGGCAGGAGGAACCATGTTTTCATCATCCCCATATCCTTCCTGACAGTACAATGCCTGGCATCTAGTAGGCACTCAAAACATACTGAGGGGTGGGGAGGAAGAAAGGGAGTGGCTGAAGCTGTTCCAAGGATACATTCATTTATATAAATCCTCTTATCAATCTGTGGGTACCTGGCTCCTCAGATGAGGAAGGGTGAAGAATGAGATCTGCACATTGATATACTAAGCTATAATTCAATTATTTAAAAAGGTGAATTTATACCTAAAAATGATACAGGATATGATGGGTTTTAAGGGAACAAAGCCTTATGCAAGAGGAATCACAGGAATAGGAAACAGCGACATGGAGTCTTTTGGATACAGGAAAATCCTGAGGTTTGGTGAGACTGCATCACACAGGCAGATGCCTATCCCATCTGCCTGATACCGTTTCAATATCATGACTCCAATCTCAACTACATCAGTACACTGCAGGACCGATAGAATAGTGGGGTCGGTGAACACTTCTAAAACTGGGCTTCCACAAACACACTTCATGTTGTGTAAAAACTGAGTTTTGGGCCGGGCATGGTGGCTCATGCCTGTAATCCAAGCATTTTGGAGGCCAAGGCATGCAGATCACTTGAGGTCAGGAGTTCAAGACCAGCCTGACCAAAATGGTGAAACCTCGTCTTAAAAAAAAAAAAAAAGTAAAAAAAAATTTGAGTTTCATTTTGAGATTTGGCTAAACTGCAACACCTTCCGTAAGTTTGCAGTTTGATTCTTTGTGTGAAGGGTAACTTTTCGTTTCTAGATTTGGGGTTTCCTGGACATCACCAGTAGTCTAACAGCAAACACCAAAGGCCTGGGAGTAGAGGCTGTGAAGCAGATCTTCCGCAGAAACTGTATAAACCAAATCCCCTCCCCTCCCACATGGAGCTCTACCACATTGCACTATGACTAGCAGGATTTTCTTTCCTGCCCACTCTTGCATTCCAGGAATATAGCTTTTTGACACTCCTAGATGATGGGCTGAGACACAGAGGGACACAGTTCCAAGTTGCCTCCCTGCTCAGGCCTGAGGCTATGGTACGTGTCTCCCCTCAACATCCGTTAAAACCCGGGATTCTGGGCTTAAAGTTTCTGCAGTGACACAGGGCAGCCCTGGCTTCCCTGTTCTTTTGCCCACTGGAGTTTCAGCTACTTCTTCCCTTTTTGGGGGCCCCTGGGAATTTCCCTTATTTTCTTAGGACCTCAGCTATGTGGTGAAAACATGTTTGCTGGACTTCCACTCTCTGGTGGGCTGGAGTGGCTTGCAGCAAACCAACATTCTCAGAGAGAACAATTAGAAAAGCCAGATAGGATAACAGAGGTCATCTCCTGGAATCCACAAGAGTGGGTCGATGGTAAATGGCAGAAAAGCTAAGTCTCCCAGTCTTTCTTGGAATTATCTGAGAGAATCAAATCCACTGAAAACGTCTTAAGTATCTATTTTCTCAGTTCTCTCAAGGACAATACATGATGACCACCATCCCAGAGGCACAGGAGAAATTTATTCAACTACATACAATGGACACCTTAGCACACTGGTCTTAATTCTCTGGCAGAATCTTCAGTGGAGCAGGACCCAGAAGGGAGAGGGTGAGGGAAAATGAACACACAATTCCTGCCACATAAAACAATGAATGTGAATCACAGCCATGTTCATGTAAAACAAACTTGAATGCGGTGGAATCATCTGTGGTGACAGAGGTGAAGACAGTGACTACTCTCAGGAGAAAGGAGCTTTCCTGTCACTTGAGGGAAGGTGAGGCTTAGGGTGCTTCTGGAGGGGCTTGGTAATGGTTCTGCCTCATTTCCTGCCGGATGCATGAGTGTGTCTACATTCTGGAAATGTACTGAGTTGTTTGCCTATAATGAGTATTTTTAGCATGTATATTACACTTCAATAAAATTTAAATTTTAAAGTATGCTTTTCTAATTGAGCCAGCATGAAGCCCACTGCTAAGTGTTTCATTTATGCTCACTCAGACCAACACAATACAGGTTTTCTAGGTTTGTTTTTTTTTAGAAAATGTTTCAATTGCAACCTGATAGCACTTTTTCCCCATATAAACAGTACATTCCTTGACTATTTTTTTTACCTTTGCATCATCATTTCATCTGACGATACAATGCCATGAAAAACAGGTTTTTGAACACTCTTTTAAACAATAACAACAGTGTCTCTCCAGGGACACCAAACCAATAATAAAAATAAAAGAAGGAAAAAAAAAAAAAAACAGCATCAGTTGGGCATGGTGGCTCACACGAGTAATTCCAGCACTTTGGGAGGCCAAGACAGGTGAATTGGCTGAGGTCAACAGTCTGAGATCAGCCTGGCCAACATGGCAAAACCTCATCTCTACTGAAAATACAAAAAGTAGCCGAGAGTGGTGACCCACGCCTATTAATTCTAGCTATTTGGGAGGCTGAGGCAGAATCACTTGAACCTGGGAGGCGGAGCTTGTAACGAGTCGAGATCATACCATGGCACTCTAGTCTGGATGACAGAGTGAGACTCTGTCTCAAGATAGACAGATAGCCAGGAGTAATAGCAGGTGCCTGTGATACTGGCTAGTCAGGAGGCTAATGCAGAAGGATCACTTGAGCCCTGTAGTTTGAGACCAGCTTGGACAACATGGTGAAACCCCAACTCTATCAAAAAAAAAAAATTAGCTGAGCATGGTGGCACAAGCATAATGACACAAGTTGGTGATCCCAGTCACTCAAGAGGCTGAGGTGGGAGGACAGTTTGGGCCCAAGAGGCCAAGGCTGCAGTGAGCCGAGATCATGCCACTGCACTCCGTCCTGGGTAACAGAGCCAAGACCTTATCTCAAAAAAAAAAAAAAAAAAAGGCTGATTGTGGTGACTCATGCCTTTAATCCCAGCACTTTGGGAGGCTAAGGTAGGTGGATTCCCTGAGGTCAGGAGTTCGAGAACAGCCCGGCCAACATGGTTAAACCCCATCTCTACTAAAAACACAAAAATGAGCCAGGCGTGGTGGCAGGTGCCTATAATCCCAGCTACTTGGGAGGCTGTGACAAGAAAATCACTTGAATCCGGGAGGCAGAGGTTGCAGTGAGCCAAGATCGTGCCACTGCACTGCAGCCTGGGTGACAGTGTGAGACTCTGTCTCAAAAAATAAATAAAATAAAATAAAAATAATGCTGCCAGTAATATCTGCAGGACCTTCACCCTACCTGTTCCCCACCTCCATTTTAAGCTATCATGTCATGTCAAACATGGTATGTATGGAAGTGACTTTGTTATACCTCACTATAAAAATCATAGAGACAGAGAAATCTTGAGACTGGAAGAAAACACAAGCAAGGATATGCTGAAGCAGCATGAGCATGCCACTACCAGATGCAAGCAATGGAGATTTAGCTACAATCTCAGCCTCCACCCTACCATTTCCATGAGCACTGACACAGCAGTAAAGGCTGCGTGTTTCACCAAGGATTTCAGAGACTGCAAGCACTTAAACTTGTCTCTAGTACTGCACTGAGAGCTTCATATTTCACCTCAACTTCTTACAACTCTGTGAGGCAAGAGTTATTATGTCTACTTGGTAGATGAGGAAACAGAGGCTGAGAGAGTTAAAACTTGCTTAAAATCATAGGGCCAATAGGTGGCAGGGCCAGTAATCTAACTCAGGATTAATTAAGCCCCAAATCTATTCTTTTAACTACCACATACTTTTTACAACCAAATAAAAAGTATATCCTAGGGGTGGGCATGGTGGTGGCTCACGCCTGTAATCCCAGCACTTTGGGAAGCTGAGGCAGGCAGATCACTTGAGCTCAGGAGTTTGAGACCAGCCTGGGCAACATGGTGAAAACCCATCTCTGCCAAAAATACAAAAGTGTAGCTAGGTGTGGCAGCATGCATCTGCGGTCCCAGCTACTCAGGAGGCTGAGGATCACTTGAACGAGGCTGCAGTGAGCCGAGATTGCGCCACAGCACTCTAGACTGGGTGACAAAGCAAAACCCCATCTCAAAAAAAAGAGTGTGTACTATTTTGATATTTTTGCTCTTTTCCTTTCTCACTTTAAAAACGGTTGTTTTATACTGACAATGCTATTTTAACTAAATGTCAGAACTTCCACAACAACTTCATATGAAACTGCTTTCAGTCATAAAAAAAAGGTAATGATACCTCAATTTAGTTTTTCTTACAAACTGAATCTTAGAAATTAATAAATACAGTAACACTTAACTGAGCTAGCTTCAGCTCACCCACTGGTGGTCTACAGTATACTGACCCACACGTGTTATACACGGCCAACGCAGTGTTTTGTTTTACTTTTGCTTTTAATTTTGAATTAGTTGCCAATGAATGCTGCAAAAATAACATGTATTTCCAGCTCCTCTTATTTAAAAAAAAAGAGAAAGAAAAAAAAAAAAGAGCCACAAGATCCAGGGCTTGTATGCCACGTTCCAGTACAGTAAGAGCCCATTCTCTGGAGCAAGGAGCAGTGGCCACTATGGAAGAAGCCTGTGCTCTTCTGCTGGCCCCTTCCCCTACAGTCTTACTGAGCCAGCTGACTTACAAACCGAGCTGGCTTCTAACCGCATCCGAGTTTGCGACCACTGATTAAGACAAAAATCAGATCTGAAAAGTAAGCAATAAGTACCTTCAGGCACCATCAGTAGTTTCTCTACTAATA